ACTGGACTATGGAGTCAAGACAAAGGAAGTGACAATCTTTTGTGACAATCAAAGTGCCATAGCCATCTCTCAAAACCCAGTGCATCATTCTCGCACTAAGCACATTGATGTCAAGCATCACTTCATCAGAGAACATGTGGAAAAGAAAGATATCAAAATTGAGTATATCTCAACTGAAGAACAACTGGCGGATATCTTCTCCAAACCACTAAGTGAAGCCAAGTTTTCCGATTTGCTTCACAAAATTGGTCTAATTCAATTAGACTGAATGTAGTGCACGTGGCAGTTCACTTTCCACGTCTGACAAAATGATGGGTGGGGATGTCGCCTTGGGAACAGTTAAAAAATCCAATCGCCACTAGCCGCATAAATCGCCCACATTAAAGCCCAATCCCCACTATTCAGATCTCAACCGCCCACTCAAAAATTTTTCGTCATCTTCTTCGCGAAAAATTCTCAAGAACTTGCAAGAACCCTAGGTCTTTCTTTCTCAAATTTTCACCCAAATTTCTGAGAAAATGAAGGTTGTCGGTGCAAATGTCCACTTTCAGAAGTTAGAAGCCAAGTGCTCATCCCCAACATTCTTCCAAAGCTATCTGCAGATGATAGCCGCTCAAGAACTCTCCGAATTTCTTCAAATGGAGATTCACCTCAAATTCGAGGAAGAAGTTCTTGAATTCTACAGAAATGGAGAAATCAAATCTGCTTAGTCAAAGAAAAACCCACAGAGGACATTTCCAGTCATCAAGTCCACTGTTGGAGGTACAAGAGTGAAGCTTTCGCAAAAGAAATTGGGAGAAAAGCTTCGCCTTCCCAATTCTGGAGTTGAAGTTGGAAAATTTCCAGTCAAAAATCTGGACTGGAACATCATTGGAATCTCTGGGCAAGCTCCTTCTAGCACAGTGAAGAAAGCAGATCTAAACAACGATTACAAGTTGGTTTTGGAACTGGTCATCGCTTGCCTCGAGTGTGGAAGTGGAGGTCATGCCGATGACATCACCCAGGAGAGAGCCTTCATCATCAACTCTCTCATTACCAAAACTAAGGTAAACTGGGCTGCACACTTTTTCAATTCCATCTCAAAGCATTTGGAAAAGCCCAACCAGAAATATCTCTGTCAAGGACTATACCTTGGACATATTTTGGGATCTATGGGTATTGCTTCTAAAGGAAAGAAGTATGAAGAAAGATACTGGTTATATTATCTGTCTTCAAAAGGGGAAAACAGAGCTGGTACTAGTACCACTGCAGAAGAAAAAAGCTCTTCAGATAACGTCCCACTCATCCATATGACGAAGACTACCAAAAGGAAGAAAGTGGTGTCTCCCTCCATTGAAGCACCAAAGAATCTTGCTCCAATAAATCTTGAAGAAGAGGAAGAATCCTCTGACCAAGGAGAACTTCAAAGGAAGAAGAAGAGGAAGATCAACTCCCCAACATCTGGAAATGTCAATCCGGATGAGTTGAAGGAGAAAGAACCTGCTGAGGAAACATCTGCTCAAAACGGGAGCCCTCAACAATTTGAAGAAGAAATTTCTCAAGTCCAAAGCCTTCCAACCTCATCTCAGCCTCAAACAGATGATGCACATAACCAATTCTGGCAGCTATACTATGATTGGAAAGCCTGGAAAGTTGGAAATTCAGCAGAGCAACTGTTGAATTGGGACCAACAGCTGAAAAATGAGAAAATCATCAAGAAGTGCTTAGGAATACCAGTCAACCACAACTGTGAACAGATTTTGGATGACTACTGGGTATGGCAAAGGAACCCTGAAGACTTGCATCTGGAATA